TGACGGAGAAGAGCTGTGTCTTATTTATCTGAGTAAATTTTTGCAGGAGACTCTTTGGGGGCTTTCATTTGTGTGTGCATGAAGCCCTAAAACCAACATCCTTGCACAGATAGATTCAAAAACAAGTGGTTGCAGGACTGTAAGCTATAGCAAAACAGTTGACTGAACATTCGTAACAGACAGCATATAGGATGAACCAGTTATAAGGATAGCAGATGACAGCATTTTTTACAGTTTATTTTATTGTTGACATTATTTATCCTCCCTTTATGTCAAGGAAACAAATAAATCATTCGTATAAGTAACTTTGTTTCAGCTCAGCATCACATCTTCAGACATCTACTCAGTGCAAAATGTTTCTGACACATCAGATAAACATCAGACATCTGTAAACATTGTGTTATTTGCATGGCCAAGCAGCTTCTGTTGGTGTAGGTGGCACAGTACTCTTTTTCCATATAGTGTAGATAAATGAGGCACAGAGAATCAAGCGTTCAACAGAAAAAAAACACATTTAATTTGAAAAATGAAACTATATTAAAGGCCTATAACTTTGTCTAAAGGAGGAAGTAAGAATCCTAAACATTTTTCTCTCTTGCTGTTTGCCATCCACATACAGGTGTCTTGTCATGAGCGCAGAATCTCTCAGATTGAGCAACTTAACCAGATGCCCCTTTATCCAACGGAGAAGATAATCTGGGACGAGAACATTGTGCCAACAGAGTATTACTCAGGAGAAGGTGTGTATTATACATGAATGTGTGAATTGTTACTGAGTTAGCATGTCTGTGCATGTATCTATGTGAGTTGACATGAAATAGAATACATGCTACTATATCTGTCTAATCTGTGTCTCATATTTGCATATACTAAATATATACCCACATTTTGTAATATTCTGTTATATATGCAGTGTTATAACACAAGGTCTCACAGACGTTTACATCTGAACATGCAGACATCAGTTATTAGTTTTGTTCCATCTTTTCAGGTTGTCTGGCTCTACCAAAGCTAAATCTCCAGTTCCTGACACTCCACGACTACCTGCTGAGGAACTTTAACCTCTTTCGTCTGGAGTCCACCTATGAGATCAGACAGGACATAGAAGATGTGATTTGGCGCATGAAACCATGGTGGGATGTCATCAATTTTGTTGGCAGCACAGAACACTTAATCTATAGTGCCTTATTGTTTTCTTGATTAAAATATGCAAACATCATTGAAAAAGTAATAGAAAGACATAGTTTGAAAAAGGAATGATAAATATTGGTGTTTCTTTTAATGCAAAAATAAAGCATTAAATAATCTATAGCATACTTTGTGTTTTTAGGTTAATTAATGAAGAATTGTATCCTCTGTCTACCTCTCACGTGGTGGCGCAGCACATTGACAATAATTTATGGCATTTGGTTCACCACATTTTAAAACCCATTGCTTAACATAATAAGTGCTCCCATTATGTCAAGTGATGTAGCAACTTGCTTGTTGTTCCTGCAGAAGTAAATAAGTAAGCAGTAGTGCCATGTGTTGCCCTAAATCCAGCTGATTTCCATTCTTGACAACAGCCCACAGCACTTGTCTTAAGTTCTTGTTGTGTTTGTCTTTCTAACAGGCAGTCAGAGTATGGTGGAGTGGTGTTTGGAGGCTGGGCGAGGATGGCTCAGCCAATCACCTCTTTTTCCATAGTTGAGGTTGCCAAGCCCAACATCGGAGAGAGCTGGCCTGCTCGTGTTCGCGCAGATGTGACTATCAACCTCAATGTACAGGACCATATCAAGCATGAGTGGGAAGGTAAAAGTAGCAGACCGTTATAAAGTCAAACAAACTGATTATGAAATGGATTAACTACACATTCCATATTACTTTGGTATACTTTTAGTTTTCCTGGTTTTTTCCCCTCTGTACAGTTCCACGGGGGTTTATAATCACCATAAAGTCTTCCCGTACTGCTGTTTTCTATCCTGTCAGGCTCATGGCCCTTTTTTCTGCTTTTACCACAGAGCGTTTGTTTTATTTCCTGCTCATTTTTCTTTCTATCTCTCAGTGTGGTTGATGAGGCAGCTATAGATAATGTCAACAGGAGCTTGACAGTCGTGATTCACAGGGAACATAAAACACACACCGAGGCCTCTGACTGGCTGTTTGCTATAGCTTTCCGGAAAAAGATGCCAGCTCAATGTTCCAGTATGCATTGTATGCCAGTGCATTTGGATTGATTACTAGCGAAAATGAATGCTATAGGGGGGGAAAAGTAATCGCCATATTTCTAAAAAGGTGATTATCTGCTGGATTAAAAAAAAAAAGAAAAAAGTATATATATATATATATGTGTGTGTGTGTGTGTATATATATATATATATGTGTGTGTGTGTGTATATATATATATGTGTGTGTGTGTGTGTATATATATATATATGTGTGTGTGTGTGTGTGTATATATATATATGTGTGTGTGTGTGTGTGTATATATATATATATG